AGCCCTGAGCCATGGCCTCGATCGATCGACCCTCGAGGTTTAGGGTTTTGATGTCTGTTTGCTGACTCTGAGGCTGGTGAAGAGAGCACGGTGTGGTGGCCTGGTGGGGTTAAATAGCAGAGCCAGCGGCAAGCCTTGAGGTCGATCGAGCGGAAGAAGAAAGGATCATCTGGCGATCCACTGCACCTGCATGCATTGCCATTAATTACTGCTCGCTGCAGTTACGCTCATCGGAAATCACCATGCCGCCGGCGCCGCCTAGGCTCCCGTGCGAGGTTTGATTCCTACTACGCCCGAGGTGGACGTGGACCGCGGGAGCTGGTCGATCCAACTCCCTCCAACGTCATCACTGCTAAACAGAAAACAACTCAAGTGAAGCCAGGTAGCCAATCCTCCAAATTTCAGACTCGAATTCAGCCCAAATATTGCTCCACAGATCGTGCTTCTAACTTCTTATTAGCAAATGGACACGATGATAATGGGCTTTCTAGCCCAAATACGGCCGTAAAATGAGAGAGCATATACACTCTGGAGTATGTACGCGATATAAAAAATCGGCCGAGAACTATTCAAACATCCGGTACTGTTCTTCTAAAACTCTAACACGATCCTAGATTCCTAGCCAACTTATATATATACACGGTCACAACTCAAACGTGATCCACTAATTATGCTTGCTTTCAATCAACCCCCAAAAACAAATGAGTCAAGGATGTTGCATGTAGCCACCTATGTAAGTACCGTCTGTCGCTAGAGGAAGTTATTTGAGCTCGTTCCATTGAGGGTTCAAACAGATGAAAAAGTTCTCCAACTGAACTTCTATTATTTAGCCCTGGGTGGATGAGAGCATCTCATCCCTCTCTTCTCAATCTCTCTTCTGAACCCTAACATACACAAGCCTCTCATTCTCAACCCCCCCCTACTTCTCTAGCTCTTCCCACAAAGCTTGCAAGTGGGACTGATGAGTAGGGCCTATGTCTTACCCGTGCCCTTATCATTGTTGGTTTTTACACAACCGGAGTCGAATATATTTCACTGTCGGTTCTATGGCTAGGGTGGCACGGTGACCAAATGAACCGGCGGTGATAAGTGTATTCATCACTAGTTGGGCATTTGAACCGGCTGAGATAACAAGGGTCCATTTCACCGTGGGCCGAAACGACCAGTGCACCAATTTGTATTGGACCAGCTGTGAAAGAAAATGTCAGCGCCTGATAACAATTTGTTGTTCTATCCGACAGTGAAAATTGTTTTCTACTAACGAATCGTAAAATGAACCGGTGGTCAAATAAGGCTGCATCATCGACACCATTTTTTATCCCTTTATTTTCTCTCAAAATTAGAGCATCAACTCACTCTCTAAATTATCATTTCAAGAGTCATTTGCATAAAATTCATTTTCTATATCTTTCTATTCTCTAACGGTTTTTCATATCTTGTTTATACTCTAAAGGTCATTCTCATTTTCTATTTTTGGCTAGCGAAAAATCCAGAAATAGAGATGGCTATATTTGATAACCAATTAAAGAAACTATTGCAGGATATTTTTCACTACAGTTTATATATTAATAATTAGAAATGATATAGAGAGTCTCTTGGAGTTGCTCTTATAGCCTCCTAAATTGCTAAATTTACGCCTAGAGCTAAATTTATGGATGAAATGTCTTATGTGACATGGTGCAGGTTTAAACACTATTTAAGAAGTGCAAAAAGGATAGTTAAAAGGTACAATAATATTAAGCAGTCAATAAAAATAAAGTTTGAAAAATCAAAATTAAGACTCATGATTTCTTATAAAGTAAAGGAGAAAAAACATACAAATACAAATATATTAAACAGTAACTAATAATACTTATTACCTCTGAGCACGGATCGAATGTCCATAGTGTATGTAGTTGCAGAGGAGGTGCATTAAAGTGTAAGGGCGCAAGTTGTCCATGTAAGGGGTTAAATAGTAGAGCCAGCAGGTAGGTGATGTGTGAAACCTCCAACATGAGAAGAAGAAAGGGTCGAAAGTGACGATCCACTGCACCTGCATGCATTGCCATTTACTGCTCGCTGTAGTTACGCTCATCGGAAATTACCACGCCGGCGCCGCCTAGGCTCCAGTCCCGTGTGAGGGTTGATTCGTGCGTGCTCCGCTCGTGGTGGACCGTGGTAGCTGCCTAGCTGGTCATTCCAGCTTCCTCCAACGTCATTGCTGCTCGTGCTCGAACAATAACTCAAGCCAAAGCCTCTAAATTTCAGATTCAAATTCAGCCCAAACCATCGCTCAACAAATCGGGCTTCTAACTTTTTTATTATGGAGATGATGATAATGGGCTTTCTAGCCTAAATACTGCCCATAAAATAAGAAACCCGGTTGTTGCCGTCGTTTGTAAAAGTGAATAGTGATAATACTTCACCGTCGGCCCAGCCTACCATCGAACGATAGATGACGAGGTTTTCGTCACCATGGGTACCGCGTCGACGATGATAATACATCTTTAGAATATTAAATTGATATGTAGCGTAATAACTAATAGTATTATTAATGTGATTACATCAAGCCTACGACCTCAACGATGCATATACATTAAGTTCGAGCCATGACATACATCAAATCCAGCCACAAGTAAAACAATCCAGAAGAGGAGAGAGAAATCAGGTTAATGGTTTAGGTAAACTATAATTAGTTTAGATTGAATTCCTCCGGTGGCGGCTTAAATTCAACCTCATACTATTTAATTATTGAAAATTTTGATTATGTTATATGCTAAGTAATATTTTAATTAAACTTTTTAAACTATGATTTTGAAATAGAAAAAAGAGAGGACGTTTTGAAAAAAAAAACATTTCTCTAACACTACTATATAATTGATTTTCACCAACAGGAGCTTTTTTCTATAGAGACGGTTCTGTTTCCACAATGGCGTCCTAATCCAACCATCTCTCAAAATATATTTGTAGAGGCAGTTCTATTTCTAGTGACCTCTGCAGCAACATCCAAAGCTCCAAACCGAGTTGTCTCTAAAAATATATTTGTAGAGACGGTTCTATTTCCAGTCGCCTCTACAGTAGTGTCCTAACTGAGCAGCCTTAAAATACACTTGCAGAGACGGTTCTATTTCCAGCCGCCTCTAAAATTTAGTTTTTAGAGGCGGCTCTATTCCCGGCCACCTCTATAAATGCCCTTTTTTTAGAGGCGACTGGAGAGGTCTCTAGAAATCGATTTTTAGAGGCGGTTGGAAACAGAGTCGCCTCTAAAATTGGAGATGCATAGTAAAATTTTATTTTTCAAACAATCTCAGTTGGAGAAACGACCAAAACAAAAGTTATAAATCTCAAAAAGTTATGCAACTGTGCATTTGATAACTTTTTTATTTGATATCATCTATTCAAGAAAAATTATGTTTGAATTTCTCAAATTTGAAATTCATAATTTTTAAATGACCTCGTATGGATAAACGACCAAAATAAAAGTTGTATATTTCAAAAAGTTACACAACTTTGTAGTTGATAACTTTTTCATTTGAATTCATTTACGGTCCCAAATACTTATTTCAAAATCGAATGAAGATAAAATGAGGTGTACGAATATCTAATATGAACACAAGTGCCTTGTGGGTGGAGTGGTTAGGGAAGATATATGTAAGACGTGAGGTTGCGGCCGGTTGAGCTCACCCACAGCCGCGAAGTACCCCTTTTTTGAGTGAAAAATTGTGTGACTTGTAGCAGCGGCCTAAATTCGTGATTTCTAGCGACAAAAATCTTTTAATTAAATTATGTAATTTAATGATCTATATTTATATTAGAAAGATATGATAAAAAATTATTGCCGCCATATATATTTTTTCTCTGTCTTCGGACAATAAAACCACACAAAATGCAATTAGAATGGACTATTTCGAATATAGAAACTTTTTTGCCTACCGTATAAGGACACATTTATTGAAATGTTAGGTTTTACTAAGTGTGTACTTACATTTCATCCTATTTTACGGTTTACTTAATGTGTATTTAACTAGCAATCAAGGTTCTATGGGCAACAAATGCACCTCGAAAAATCTAAATAGATGAGCTACGCTCAGATCGTATATATTGAAACTTTTTGACCGTCCCCCTCTTATATAATTCCTGGCTCCACCACTGATTTCTAGGCAATAATTTGTAGTTGCAAAAAATATAGTATTTTTATATATTGCATAAATAAAAAAACCGGGATCGTTACATCTTGGCTGCACTCGGATGTCTTCTTGCATCAGGTGTGATGGATGCTTTAGAAGCACATGAACTGTGTGGTCCGCCAATCGCCATCCATCATCACGTTACATCTAGGCTGCACTCGGATGTCTAATGTCTTCTTGCATCTGGTGTGACTGTGATGGATGCTTTAGAAGCACATGAACGATGTGGTGCGCCATCCACCAGTCGTTTTGCTGCAGCCTGCTAGGATGCATGCAGCCCACATATGGAAGTACCGCTGCCTAGCTACTGGAGAGAGTTACAGTGCCGCAACGGTGTACTTTAGTTTCCCCATCCCCCCTCTCGATCTCTCGGCTTGTTAACACCCCAAAGCTACAACTCCTTTGGCTGAGCAAAAAAAAAAATTACGTTGCTCCTAATCAACCATATCATAGATGGGAAGCATTTTTTAAAGGGGAAATAATTTCAATAAAAAAAATTCAAAACCGTTAATTTTTAGGGGGGGCAAAAAGGGCTCCAGAAAACCATGCATGGATTATATATGTCTTTCATCGTAAGGTATGTACATCGATAGACCGAGTCTGACTCGGACGACGAGCCAACAATTTCATTGATCTCAGCAATGCAATGCTAACTCGTCATCAGCTTGTTTGAGCTGACGCTGATCAATGAAAGATGCATCATGCGTGCATCTCCATCAGCAGTGGCTATATAGCCCAGCGGCAGAGCATCGTTGAGCAGATCGAGTGGAGCTTGCACAACAAAACCAAAACAAAAAAAAACGTATTGGTCGTCGTCATGGATCAATGCATGGATCAGTAGACTTCGACGTTCCATTGCTCGCCCTTCTTGAGCTGCTTCTTGTACTCCATCCAGTCGATCCCTGATGGATGATGATGATTCACGCATGCATGGTTAACCAAACCAATGCAGCAAGAAAGGTTAGTTAACTAGTTTATCAGTGGCCAAAAAAAGAAGGAGAACGAGAAGAGATGACAATGCAAATGCAAGGCAACAAACATGTACGTACCGTCCTTGGCTGCTAGGTCGACCATGATGTCGTCGATGCCCTTCTCCATGCCCTTGAGCCCGCACATGTAGACGTAGGTGTTGTCCTTCTTGAGCAGCTCCCACAGCTCCTCCTTGTACTCCGCCATCCGCGTCTGGATGTACATCTTCTCCCCCGCCGCGTTCGTCTGCTCCCGGCTCACCGCGAAGTCCAGCCGGAAGTTTTCCGGCGCCATCTCCTTCATCTTCTCCAGCTCCTCCTTGTACAGCAGGGTGTCGCTCGTCGGGACTCCCAGGAACAGCCACGCAAGGCCGGTGTACTACATCATACATAGCATTATTAATTATTATAATTTCAGTTAGTACTTACATTAATTTGTAGTATCTACGTATATTGTACTGTCTGTCTCTGTTGTTTAATTGGGACTGTGGCTGGGAGAACACAAGCTGACGCACCTTGTAGTCCTCGTGCTCCTCGAAGAACATCTTCCACAAGAAGGAGCGGAACGGAGCAAATACCGGTACCCGTTGCGAGCTGCATATATACATCAGGATTCAGGAGAGGACATGTTGAGTTGTGTTCATTCAGTTTACCAGTGTGAGGAACATGCATATATGATGAACTGGTTGCACTGCAAATTAAACAGATAGCTAGCACTTTCGTTGAGGGATGGATGAGCTGAATAATCACCATGATGATTGTTGCATTGGGGTCTTTGGGCATGAGCATCTCCTTGCCCACTGGCCCTGTGATCTTCACCTCAGCGCCTGGCTTCAGGTCACCTGCATGCACAGGATATATATCAGTCAGCGTACAAGTCAGATCCTTTCAACACACATATCCGATCCCTTGAAAAACGACTCTAATCCTTAATTTGATAGGCTCTACATATGCTTAGTCTGCATGGAACAATCGAATCAAATTCGAACTAAAACAAGAGAGAGAGGAAAGAAAACTGACAGAGGAAGTTTGAGCAGACTCCTTTGACGATCTCCCCTTGATCGTTGGTGTAGACTAGCCTCTTCACGCACAGCGACACCTACACATATACAATAACAAAAGTTTTTTTAATTATTGTTTTAATTAATTTGGATAGAAGACGTCGTGTATATATTTTAAGAAAGAGCGGCAAATCTGGTGTATATATTACACAAAGAAAAAACAAAAAGTTCGAAAATTACAGAACTGCAGAACCAGGGAGGCCACTGAAAGCGACCAAAGAAACACACCACTGGAAAAAGTTGCCATATGATGTTCTTGTAATTAATGGTAATATATATAGTTAATTGTTGGCGATATGATGCATATGCAGCTGCATGCAACAAGCAACTCGATGGCTAGTTCACCGTCTTGGAGTCGCCGAAATCTCCGAGGGCGCTGCTGGCGATGGAGTAGAGCCTGAGCTTGTGCGGCTTGCCGTTCTTGTCCTCGCCGTCAGCGATGATGCCGATGGACTGCCCCTCTCTGTAGGGGACCTCGCCTGCATGCACACCCCAATATATATATATGGCTATGTTTATATATGTATATATCTAATAGCACATCTAAGTATACTATATGCATGTAGTACTCGTACATACATACATACATACACCAATTTCAAAATTTTAATCTCTATCTTGCTTGTATGCTTAGCACGGTGACGCCAGCTGCATGCTCATACCTTATCTTAACTAGTAGCTTACTAATTAGAGAGAGACAGAGAGAGAGAGAGAGAGAGCGAGAGCAGCAGCAGCAGCAGAGGCTACGTACACTACACTAGAGAGTAGAGACTAGAGAGTAGAGGCTAGTACACTACACATACGCACCTTCGGTGCTGAAGACCATGTGCCACGTCTCCCCGGGCGCATCGTCGCCGGTAATCCTAGTGTTGGACAGGCACCTCCCGTTGTACGGCTCCTTGGGCCTGTACTTGTTGGTGACCACGCCCTCGTCCTGCTTCTTGGACACCTTCTCCTTCTTCACCGCCTCCGCCTCCGCGGTCTCGGTGCTGGACACCTGCACTCGCACCGCGCGGGCGCCGTGCCGCCGCCGCTGCGGGTACAAGGATAGGAACTGGAGGTGGCTGCATGGCGACGACGGGGACGCCGCCTTGGCCTTGGCAGCAGCAGCTGGGGAGGACGAGGAGGACAGAGAGACGGCCGCCGCGGTCACGGCAGCCATGGCTGGCGAGGTGCGTGGGGTCGAATGGAGGGGACCAAACGGCCGTTGCTAGCTAAAGTGGAGGAGACTCTCAGGACTCAGGAGAGGATTGGATTTGTAACGGTAACAGTCAGTATTGGGAGATGAGAGGCGATGAGCCGATGAGGAGAGATGAGTGGAGGAGAGACGAGGTGGGGAGCAAGTGGCTGCTGCCCGCTCACTGACTGTCTCTCTCCCTCACAGGACCAGTGCTCCAGGCCAATAAGGCGGTGCCACGTCGGCTCGGGATCGGCTCGCTAAAAGACAGGCAGCGACGACGATATGCATACGAAAACAAATCCCCCAACGGAATTGACAGGAACACAGGGCGTCTGGACCGCTTCAATTTGCAACCACTAGACCCAGGCTTATCGGTATGGATTTTTTTTCAATTTTTAAAAAGAAATTTAAACCTAATCCTAGCTATTTTAATTTTTAAATCTAACATGTTTCGCGCCAGATTCCCTGGCGCGGCAAATACGTATTGTCGTGTCAGGCCAACTAGCACGATAGGCTTATCACCGAGGTGGTCAACCGCTTGCTGACCTATTGACGTGGCGCCCCCTGCCACGCCACCCCGCCTGGTGCGGCAGTGTGGTATACAGAGGCACGCACTAGCCCCCCTTCTCTCTTCCTGCTCTTCTTCCTCCTTGGGCTGCACCTCTATTTCCTCCCTGCTCGCCACCTCCCTCTCTCAAACATCGATTTCCCCTACTCAAGTGAAAGGAAGGCAAAGGTGAGACCTCATACAAGGTATGTGCCCTAGTTGTACTTTCACACATCAAAATCTTTGCATATGTGGTGCCTGGGGTTTCATGGTACAAGGCTACACCAATTCCTAAATCTCTAGGTCCTTAATGAACTATGGTATATTTAATGGTGTCATAGTGACGAATTAGAAAACATTAGATTCATTTATGGAATGTTTAATTTATTTTCTAATAATGTACGATGCAATAAGGGAAACATTAGATTCATTTGTTAGTATCCTCTGCTTTGAAAGATGGAGGACATGTGGCGTATGGTGAAGTGGTGAAAGAGACATCGTCCCAAAGCTTTACACCTGGTCACGGTGGCCATGGCTGGTGTCCTAGCGACGTGGGGTCGAATGGAGGGGAACGAAGGGTCGTAGGTCATAGCTATCTACAGTAGAGGAGACGAGAGGATTGGGTTTGTATCTGTTGTAGTATTGCAAGAGGAGAGGAGAGGAGTGGAGCAAGCGATGAGGAGAGGAGACGAGATGAGTGGAAGAGAGACGAGGTGACGAGCAAGTGGCTGGATCAGCTTGACTCGCTAGAAGACGGACAACTTCAGCAATATGTATGCATAATAATAATATTTCTATAATATATATATATATATATATGTATATATATATACATCTCTAATTCTAAATATACAATTATAGATACATAGACATATGTACTTGTGTTGCATTGGAGCTATAAATTTTTGTCCACGTCTACTGACGATGCACATGACTTGCGATTTAGAGGTACATATTAAGAAATCTGTAAATCTGATTATACATAAATATAAATACTGTTTCATGATATTTATTACCTATCATGTAGATCTAGTTTATAGAAACATAATAAAATGTTGGTTTCACTTTTTTTAATACGTGTGTGACTCTGATTTGATTATTTCTAGAAAATATTAAAAAGCTAATAAATGGTTTTGCATTAGATTCCCGTGAATAAAAAAATAGGGCATGCAAAGCAGGGGTGTGGGACCAACTATTAACGACAACAAAACGATTTATGAATGGTTGCTCTTGATCTGATTTGATGGAAGAAGGATGACGCGTTGACTAAAACGAGTGGTTCGAAACTCGTGGCGGAGGAGTTTGAGTACTTTTTAGATGTAAATAGATTAGATAGAAGATATACTCCTTATATAGAGATATAGAGAATAAGAGATATGCAATTGCCAATTGCGTCCTGCCGGTGATTCTTCGGTCCGCATCGCGTAGATGACACATCAATTCATTGGTTGCCATGTCCTCTTGTGCCTTGGAAATGTCTCCTAGAAAGATTCTTTGTTTAAGTGTCCATGATCCACGTAGCCCTCACTACAACGACCTATACAAAACGCAACGGCAATGGAGCAATCTCTCTTCAGGTTCGACACGGGCAGCAATCAGTTTAGGCCCGGTCGTAAGAAGCAAGCAATGTCACCAGTGCGCAGCAGCAACCTATTCAACCCGTTCTCCGACTTCTGGACGTCCACCGAGCAGTGCCCTGTCCACACCAACGTGAGCACTGAGCATCCACTGAAAGGAGACCTCCGAGGTACAAGTGTCCACCCGGCAACTAGAAACTGATTTTGCGAAATGGGCTCTGGTTCGATGGTAGTGCAGTCCATGGAACGCTATCCAGGGTTTAAACTCTGGTGTCGTTTTTTTTTTTTTGATTTTTCTAAAAAAGAGTAGGGTGCACGCATGCGTGCACGTTCGGTGGTACTGTGAATTTTTGCATTAGAGCCTACAACCTTCCTATCTCCTTCTTTGTGTTTTATGGACACGCATGGGTGTGTTAGTGTGTGGTGTGAGTGTGGAGTGTGGGTTTCATGCGTCTTATTATATCCTCTTAAAAATTATACACACTGAAAAAAATTAGAAACCATTTTTCTTGGAAGTAGGCCCGGCAGCGCATGAGAACCGCTTTTTTTTTCTTGAGACCCTGGGTCCACATGCAAAGCAATCTCTCCCGGGACGTCTGCACGCGGCGCTCCGATCCCACTCTTGGTCCAGCCCACATGCAAAGCAACTTAGCACTTTGTTGTAAAAAAAAGCAACTCAGCATTTTTCATCTGAATTTTTTCAGCACGTCACAAGGACAAACAGCTACACGTTACATCCAAAATTGCTTTTGATATATCGTACATGCTAAAAATTCAATGATCTCATGATTATGTCTTTTGAAGGAACCAAGGAACCGCTAAACTTGATTATCATAAAAAAATATTTATGTATAGTTAGATTGATGATTAAGAAGAGTTTAGTTGCGGGAGAAAACTAAATGAAGTCCGAATTTAGTTTACACACTAAGCCTTCGATTCATACATAAAGGCTCCGTTCGCTTCGCTGAAAAAATAAACCGAAACACTGTTCCGACTAATTTGTTGTGAGAGAAAAACATTATTCTCGCTGAAAAAACAAGTTGAAAAAGATGGATTATAAGATAAACATGGCCAAAAAGGCATCCACTATGTAGCTTTTTGTCCGTTTCATGAAGACTCGTATAATTGTGACGATTAGCTACAAACATTATATTATGGACGTTACGTCCAAAGTACTATGTTTTAATAGTGCGACATTCGATTTAAATTTGAATTGTTATGGAATTATTTTTTGTTTCCGTTGTAACACACGCCATCAACACTATGCTCAACCGCTAGCCAGCTGTTGCGCATGCCATCGTTTCATGAGGCTTAACGTTCACGACGACGGCCTGATCAACTACGAGTTCATCTTCGTCGTGACGACCAGGTGGCAGGCACTTGCATATGGTCGAAACTACAATCACGCTAAAAAAATCGGTGTTTTGGTAAATATAATACATACACATATAAACTTATTTGAAGCATTTTGTTTTTTTCATTGCAACGTATGGGCATGATTCTAGTACACGAAAACAAATCCCAAAACATACCTTAAGGTCCAACAATAATAGACCAAAAATAAAATTGGACCAAAATTGAGCACAAATCAAAAGGTACTATCCCCAAATCCAACCCTTGTATAATCAAATCCAACTGTCTAGACATACATGACAGCTAAATAAAAATTATGGGCTTCAATACACAAAAAATATTATTGGTTACAATATACGATTTTTTTAGTGTATTTGTTACAATACTACAATTTTTTTAGTGTAGTATCTGTTACAATAATACACTAAAAAATTGCTTTAGTGTACATTGTAATTACGTCCTCAAGGATTAAGCTTAATGCTTCTTGTTGGGATGTCGATGTCCAGGTGGGACTTCTATAAAGTAAAGGACTTATATAATAGTATAAAGTAAAAGCAGCTACATCAGCATCACAAAGCCAACATGAGTAGCACCTGTGTCACGGCAGCCACAACAGGGTGTATCAACCGAAGCCCATGAGGCACACAAAGCCCAATATGCTTGCCTGCATGGTCAAGTATATCCTAGGATGACGGTGGCAGGGATGCAGAATCGGCAATTACCCCCCGCTCTGTGTCATGTCGTAAAAAAAAGAAAGGTGAAAATCGTATATTGCATGAGTATGTTTCAAGTGTTTCAGAGGTACGTTGCAAGTGTTGTATATCGATTTTGTAAAAGTAGATTAGGATGTTACACATGTTGTAATGGTTATACACATATGTTTCAAGTCTATGTTCCAAATGTTTCATCTGTTCAAGACGTATGTTGCAAGTGTTTTATCTGGATGTTGCAAAAGTAGATCTGGATGTTGCATATACATGCATGTTGTAAGCATATGTTTCAAGTGTTTTCAGGTGTCCCATACATATGTTTGCAGGTGTTTCATATAAATGTTGCATATGTTTGTAATGGTTTTCAAATATTTTTCTAGACGTTTTCGCAAGTGTTTCAGACGTTGTTTCAAGTGGTTCATCTGTCTTCTTTTGTATATATGTTACAACTGTTACATCTGGATGTTTCAAAAGTAGATCGGGTATTGCACATGAAATTTGCTTGAGAAGCGGCTGGCGGCTTGGGTGATATTCGGGGCGGCACGAGCGACGTCCCGAGCGGCACGAGCCCACTGCTAGAGACGCACTAGGCGCTTGCTCGCTCCCTGTGCAAACACCGTCCGGACGCTAGGGTCCGGATCAGACGTGCGGACGCTAGCAAGTCCGTTTATTTTCTCTTACGTCCGCGTCCGTTGTTCTCTTTTCAGTTCGTTAGTTCTTTTTTATCTAACACACGTTTTTTTCCTGTTGTCCCTCTGTTTTTCCATTCATTCTGTCTACCTTTTTCCTTTTGCT